ACGAGAGTGGAACAGATGCCTGAGGAACAAAGAAAACACACTGAAGAGGGTGAGCTGTTAGTCTGTGTTCCAGAGTTCAAGGATTCCAGGTTGAGAGAAACAAAACACAATAGAGAAATCTCAACTAGTTTATTAATACAGGGAAAATATAGAGATAATAAAAGATAGAGTCAAGGATATTTTTGATGTTTGGTTATCTTACCAACCCCAAAGACCATGTAATGACGATCAGGAAACCAGCTCCAAGAAACATCATTGCAGCGTGAGGTGGCAGACTCAACCTTAGCGGGCATCCCCGCGGAGGCAATGTTGACCTAGGTGCTATGAGGTTCTGCCTCTCCACATCACATGAGGCTCAGGCTTTTATACTACCAAAAATGCACACTCATTTTGATGTAGGGGGCCAGCCTACCTCGGAAGAAGTGGCCAGCTATACCTAGAAAGGTCTCCCAGGATCGGGACTTTTCTGAGGACCAGCCAAAGGAGGACTTTTCAGGGAGGACCCACCACAGACAAACAGTACTTTTCCATTTTTGTGTGTTTCACCACAGACCATTACCTATTCTCACTGACACAGTCTGGCAGGTGTTCTTTTTTTCAGATGGCAAACCACCATAGCATGAATAGAGTACAAGCTATAACGCCTACTCAGCAACTTCCCACAACTGTTTTAGTTCTCGCTAATTTGAATATACGCAAAGCAAGATGGTGTTCTGGCTTTACAACCAGCTCTTTGCAACACAATATATAAAAAGCAAAACAGTTAAAAGGCCACATGGCCTATTCCCCAACACCAATAAACACAACCCCTGCACAAAACCTCCCCTTACACTGAAGCTGGACCACAGAAACCTCGTTTGAACGTTTCCTTGCAGTCTGCGTCCTCCCTCTCTGGTTGGAGCCAAATTTCTTAATTACCTCATGTAACCCTGGCAGTTTTTCCTTGGCTTTGTGGTATTCAAGCACACACTCCAGGCAGTAACAGAGATCTTCATTGGATCCTTCAAGATCTTCCGGGGACAACCGTTTAGAAGCATAGCTCTTCAGGAACTCAGTGGCGTCGGGACCACTAGGTGTACACCATCGACACGTGCTCATTCTTTGCATGGAAAGAAGGAGGAATTAGTGGAAGTTCAAAGGCTGAAAGCAACAAAATATGCCCTTTTGGCCACAACAGTACCTAGTTTTCAATGTGATGAGTTTCAGGATTTACGTAACTCATTGACAGCATACATGCGTATGTTCTTGGGTGACCTTATATTATACAGATATACACAATTAAATAAAGGAATGCAGATTAAACCATTAAATTAACATTACAGAAAAATGCCTCCTAAATGGCAAGCATTAGAAGTAAAGCACTGAAAATAAGTCAAATTACATCATTTGCAAACTATGACATAATATGTGAAAAGTGACTTTACGTTGCACAAGTAATCCCTCATCCACACTTAACGCACACTTTCCAGGACTGCAACGCTGGAGTTCATTATATCGCTTTACTGGTACCCATGGAATGGAGGTCTAATGCATACAAAACGTAATTAGCTTTTTTTCTTACTCTCCTGCTAAAATTTAGGTCAACAAATCCCTGTTGCCAGAAGCAAAATATATCTGTGCAGAACTTTTCTATCATAGCTGTTATTACAGTTAGAAAACATCATCATATTCTCGCCACAGATTGCTTCCTCTAAAAAGAAAAAAATCCTAAATAAGCAGCAATACAGTCATCTCAGATTATGATAGCATGAACAGCTCAACTGAAGCCTGGGAAAGCATGAGGACTTGAGGCAAGTATATAAAAGGGAAGACAGTAATTACTGTGCTGTTTAGCATAACAAAGAATGAAAAAGGGAAATCTAGATAAAGCAAAACCATCCACTCCCTCATACACAGGTACAGGAGGTATTTACCTTTGGAAAAGGAAGGTATTTGCTGTGAGGGTGTGTTAGGTAACATGAAGACAAGTGCGCTACCCCGCAGCTGGGAAAGGGGGCTGGCCCCTCCAGCCACACATGCCCTCGAGTATCTTTAGTAATCCATGCCCTGGAAACCGAGCCTTGGTGGCATTTCAGAGACCTAGGAAAAGAAAATAAGCCTCAGAAATGGGTTAAATTCACGCGTTATAGACTAAGAATGGCTTTGGCACTCAGATTAACGTGCCATCCACTGAAGAGCCAAGTGATCTGCACCTGAATCCCCTCCGGACGCCGAAGGCGGGCAGCAGATCACGCACCCGCCTTTTCCTAACAAAAGGTGGGAAACTTCATCCGCGCACGTTAAGCGAAGAAACCGCTCCCGTAGCGAGGGCCAAGCCTGCCTAGGGGCGAGCAGCAACCACCGGCACCTCCCGAGGAGAGAGCGAAGCGGCGCTCCCCGGTTCCCCCCCCCATTCCCCAGCGCCCACTCACCGCTCCTCCGCCGGAGCTCGTTGCAGCCGGGAAAGGCACCGCCGCTTACCCGCCGAGCGGGCCCGCGCCTGCTCTGAGGCGGCGTGAGGGGAGCGCGGGGTCCCCCGGGGCAGCGGCAGCGCGGTCCGGCCCGGCCCGGCCCGGCCCTCCCCTCCTCACCTCACCTCACCTCACGCAACCCCGCGCTCCTCGCCCCTGCCCGCCTGCTCCCGGCCGCGGTGCCCCCTCCCCGCACACACACAACACCGCGCTTCCGGGACGCCGCCGGAAGTGGGCTCCACAGGCGGGCGGGGCCTTAAAGGGACGGTGAGGAGGGAAACTGAGGCACGGGCCGGCGGGAGGGGAGCTGCCGTGCGGAGGTAACGCGTTAGCGCCCCAAGGAGCGGGTTGCTGGAGCACAAAGATCCCGCTCCAGCTCCACAATCGAGCCAAGCAGGGGGCTTTCTGCAACGCTCTGAAGTGATAACCCCCCCAGAGAAGCTTCCTCGGGGCCTCTGAGGCAATGGAAGCCACGGCCAAGCGCAGCTGTGCCTGACATCCGGGAACAGAAACGGGCAGGAAGGGCCATGAAGGCTCTTGGCTCAAGGGGTTGTATCCCCGCCCCACCAGCGCGATGCTGTCCCTGAGGTGCTCCAGGGATACAGATCTGCTGCCTTCCCTCAACTTCTCGTTCCAGACTTCACAAAAGAAATGGGTGAAGGCACCATGAACACTCCATGACTTTGAAGTGCTTCTCTGCTGCAACCACAACTCTTGGAACCCGGCTGGCTCTGGCTTTGATAATGCCACACAGCTGAGGCTTTATTTCCTCTGTAACACCATTCAGGTCAAGGAAATGCTTGAAGCAACACATCTGTTTGCACCACCTGAGTGTTTAGGGGACACGCAGTGCTTTTTAGACTTGAATGCACCCTGATGTGGTATTTCCCTTGTCATTTGGGGGCCCATTTGTGTTTTTTTTTTAAACCCCTGCATGCCGTTTGCTCAGTTTTCACTAAAATTCAAATATCTACATTCAACAACAGCCTCCCTCTTGCTTTTTAACACGATGGCAAAGGGAGACACCCCTGACTCCCATACAAGGACTTGAAGGTGCATCAGAAATACATTTCAGGAGGTGGGGCTGAAGCCCCTAAACCACAAGATAACCAAAGTACAGACCGATACCAGAGCTAAAACAGACATTTAACTTGATACTTCTAACAGGTAGCTACTTTACCGTAGAAATATTATCATCAGGATGAGCCCTATTCAAGCTCTCCCTGAATTAGAGCTGGACTGCATGCCTTACTAAGAGATCCTTCCTTCCCTAAGACAGATCCCTTAGTCACATCAGATCCTCACTAAGTGGCTGAGAGCATGCTGAATTAATGCTAATAAAACATTAATAATCCATATCACTAATAATTATTAAATTTGTATAGATAATTCTATTAAACATAAACTGTGGTCCAAGACTAATATTAGGGCCAGCCACACATAAGCACCATCAGGAGTTTAGAAAGCAAAGGGGTCCACTCTGCACCTCATGAAGTGGAAAGGTCTTCCTTACCCTTTGCATCTCCAGTCTGAATCATTCTAAATTGACTGTATTTTCCTTTATATGTTTCTTCCATGAAGTAATAAAGTAAACCTTGCCATTAAACTGACTGATCTGCTGTTAAACTGTGTAAAATTCCATCAAATTTATTGAACTCTTGTCAAATTATTACTTGACCTCAATAAAACATATTGCTGCTTCTCTCTTTGAGTGAGGTGCATTCCACTCACCCATAAGTCTCCCTTTAAAGCAAAGGATAAAATAAATCTTGTTATGCAGCTAGAAGTTTATTTCCATGAGATCTACTCTACAAGCTCTGTAATCATGGAAGAAGATTCAGAGGATCTCCATCTTCCAAGTAAAGAAGCATCTTGAAAAATACAGACTCTTAGTTCTTCAGCTTTTAACCTTTCAACCTGTAAGGCAACAGACCTAAATTCAAGGGAGCTGGTATATGTTTCTTTCCTCCCATCCTACCAGCCCCATTTCATTTCCTGTCTGGAAAACTTACCCTTCCACCAGTGGCTGACCTCCTGGGGTGTTCTGCCTGTCTCACAAGAATCACACTGGTTTGTATCTTCAGAGAGACTAAAGGCAGATACAGTTAAACATGGGAAGCTCTCAATTGACATCCTTTGCTATAAATCAATGATAATTACTAAAGAAGGAAATTCTCACTTATCCAAATGACCATCAAAAAGCAGTATGCCAGAGACCAAGTTCTCCTGCCTTACTTTTTAGTACAGCATACAGGAAATATAAGCAAATCGGACAAATGCTTTACAGGAACAGGAAGACTTTTGGGTTGTTATTTTACATTCACTCAGTCAATGTACACATTCTAGGCAGACAGATGTATCGTAGAAAGCCATAAATACAACCTCATCTTACCCCTCAATTTTCTTATTACAATGTAGAAACTCTCCTTGGCACAATAGAAGTATAAATCTATATACACACACACACACACTATTTTGTCTCTGTATTCCAAGTATTAACAAAACCATTTTAAATGCATTGTTCTGCTTTGCATGAAATGAGATTATCATTTATGAATAGCAATGGACAAAAATCCGTTTTCTCTATAAGGCTGATAACAGTGTCAGTCTACATCAAAAATAAAAATCAGTTGCTTTTAAGAACAAGACACCTGTTAAAAAAACAACCCCAAAACAACACAAAGTCGTGCTTTTTCCATTAAAACAGACAATTAAGATGTTTATTACAGAGATTTTAAAGCAAACTAAAAGTCCTTTCCCAAGTCACTGGTATTTTAAAAAATTACTTAAAACATATTAAAGTTCTGAAAACCAAGCTTATGCATAAAAGCTAAAGAGCAGCTTTCAACTCCACAGAAAACAAAGTAGTGGAAAAATACCGGTTTTGAGACATTCAGCAAGTTGAATGCTTAAACTGTATTTACCTGCCTTCAATATGAAACAAGAGAATCAGACATATGTATCTTTACTTTCTCCATCACTAGATACCCTGTGTACCTGCACTACTAAGGCCACCTGCCTTAGTCTGTGCCCACTTTCAACCACATCCATTTTATAGTTCAATGTGGACACTAGGTACTGTCTTTAGGGCAGTCAATCGCTGTCTTCACTGGTGTCAAAAATGTCACTGAATAGGATCTCCTTCTTCTGTTGCACAGGTTCTGAGATGTCAGAACTAGGGTTTTTCTCCTTATCTTTTTCAAGCCTTTCTTCAAATTCTGGAAGTTTCTTTTCATAAAGGTAATCAACAATTTCTTTGGGGGAGAAAAACAGAGAGAAAAGTAAAGTAAATTGTATCTATAGGGGAAATGGATGCCATCAGGAAGCAGGATCCCACAGAAATTATTCTGTCAGTGTTAAATGCAAACAACAACAACAAAAAAAAATACACTGCTCCAACACAGACACACAAGAAACTAAAAAAGCAGTCACAAAACATTTAAAGCCAAGGGATTAAAAAAAAAAAAAAAAAAGAGGTTCATAATCACTGCATGAAGATGTCATTGAAAGTAAACTGTTATTAAAGAAGGGCATTCAGTAAAATAAGTACAAAGCCTGAGATATCAGCCAATTTACTTGGGGGAAGCTAACTAAGACATAATTCAGATAGAATATGTATCCTCTTAGATTCAAGTGAAAACGTTAAGGAGTATATACAAACAGCTGGGATACTGACCGGAAAAAGTCTTTCTTCGCCATAAAGGGACAAAGGAAACTTTTAGCTTATAAAATTTTTCTTGAATGTACTCTTTAGGGACATCTCTGAAAAAAAGAAGAGTTCAATGAATTAGTGGTGCAAGGAATTATTATGAAGTTTTGTTGCTACTGAGTTACCCATTCATGAGAGTGATGCCAGTCAAACAGTATCTTAGCTTTAGGTAGAAAGGACAGATTTCAAATCCTAATTAAAACAGTTTTTTCAAGACAGCAATTCCCCTTGAAGGTAAAAACCTAAACCATGCCATCACACATACGTATTACGTGTTTAGTGAGAGAGGAAACGAAACTGAAAGTATGTGGAAAACGTCAAAAGCACTGTACAGCAAGTATACAGCATTCACAGCACTGGTAGTTTCATATTCCACACTTACTCTGTTTGGAAGAAAACTATTACATTGTATTATACACATTCCTATAATTACCCCTTTTTCCAATATGTAGGGATGAACACCTGGAAAAATCTTTTATCGAAGACTTTAGCATAGACCGTGTAACAGTTTTAGGTACAGATATGCTGGGAATACAATAAGGGTTGCCTGAAGTGGTTACCAGTGGTTTCCAGACCATACAGGCACGGTTTATTGCCCATTGCTATGCAAGGATATATGTGTATTGTATGTTACCAAGCTAAATGATGTTTTCTATAGTTGCAGAGGTCTAAAAAGTTTGATTCCTTTGTAGAACTTTTAAGATAGTCTGCTTCAACAACACTTTGTATCCACACAAAGAGGATAAACAAAGAAATAAAAGAAGGTTTACCCGATAATATCACTAAATTCTTCCCACTTTACTTCACTAGGATCCTCCACGTTCAGTTCATGCAACCTGGGAATATAATACAGAAGCAGTCTGTAGGCAGAATTCAAGAAATAATTCAGTAACACTCACAATTCCCCAGTCAGAAGTCACAGGACATTTTGTTCTAAAGAACAGCAGTTGTGAGACCTGTATGAAACTGCAGACACGCCATTCTCACCCTGCAAGCCTTCATAAACACAAACCAGAACAGTAAGAAACACAAAAACATTCCAGTACTTCTGAACTATACCTTTTAATAAGAGTGATTTTGGCTTGTAATCCTTTGGTCCCCCTACATAACTGCCGTCCTCTGTTCAACTTGTTTTTTAAAATTGTAAGCCTATGAAAACATAGAAAAAAAAAAGTTATCATTTCAAGAAATTCCAAGCACCAAAAGGAAGTGTCTTCAAGATGCTACTGCTGCCACAAAGCGGCAGAAATTAGGCTTCACTGTCACAGCAAGAACAAAACTCACCACAGCTAATGAAGTTATCTGTCTCAGACATATTTATGATGCCTCTTCTGTAATCTACCACCTATTTATTTCCTATCTTACCGAACAATCATCATGGTACACACAGTTTGGCAGAAGACTTAAATACTCTCCAGAACACATTTTACTATCTCAGTTCAGTATAAAAACTTACCATTTCTGTTTACATTGTCTCCAATATCGTGTTCCCACTTTAGTTTCAATTTCAGACCACGGTAATTTCTGGTACAGTTTCTCACGGTCAACTACGATCTCTCTATTTGGATTTCCATCTTCCACTCCTATTCTTTTCCTAATCACCTCCTCCACTGCAGACATCAACTTCTGGATCTCTTCCGCTGACCAAGGGCCATAATTAGTAGCTAAAATTGAAAAATAAGGTAAGGCATAATTTATCATAAATGACTAGTGAAAAAAGGCAAAAGAGCACTTTTATAGAATCCTAGAATGATTTGGGTTGGAAAGGACCTTAAGATCATCTACTTCCAAAGCCCTTGCCACGGGCAGGGACACCCCACATTAGACCACGTCTGTTCTTATTTACAGGACCAGCTTCTTAACACACTTCCTAGAAACCTCTCCACACCAAATCGGAAAGAAGAGCTCAGCCTAATCACCAAATCCGGTTGCCAAATTCTTCCCACCCTGCCGCCAAAAGCATTTATTTAGACATCAGTTCCATTTAATACAGAGTTGCATTTGTTGCATTTCTTTTCTCTTTTCCATCAGACTGTTCTTATCCCTTCCATATGCAAATACAGTAAGGGGTTTAGAAAAAAAAACAACCACCACAAATTAATTTAAAAAAGAAAAAAAAAAATCCATTCTAGGGATTTTTTTTCCTAAAGTTTAGGACACATACAACCTACAGTTAAAATAACTTCTGAAGTTGCAATACACATAATGAATTGCTTTTCCTAAAATTACATACCTGACCTGAGTTCAGAGTATTTCATAGCAAGTGAGAGGTTAGAACGGGACATCATCTCAGAAATCTTCTTCCAATTATTGCCATGCAGAGCATGATACTGTTTCAATTTTTCTTTTTCTTCATTAGTGTACCTGGTTGAGGAAATTAGCAAAGCTTCAGCTGCAAATTCAAACCATTCCAATATCTTAAAAGAGCTGTAATCGTTACAGATGTTTAATCACTACCCTTTCATGTCACACTTTAGAACACAAGAATTAATAAGGACTAGTCAGAAAAATGAACTGTCAATTAAGATGCAGCAACTGGCACAAATCAGAGATGATCTTCATTTATACCCATTTTCTGTGGTCAAATAAACCTCAGAGACTGATATTAGTGTTCAGAAATGCTTTCAAGTTACTCACCTCCCTTTATAATTATGTGGGTCAAAGATCTTCCTTGCTCGGTAGTATACCAGTGCCCAGGGTCGTGGTATGCCCTCAGCTAGAAGGTAAAATGATTCATTTAAGTAACATTACTCACAGAGGTGAGGCCACTTTCAAAAAAAAGCCAAAACTAAACAAAACAAAACCCCAACAACATACATTTTTGTGACCATGCTATCAATGACAGATTCTCTCCAGTCAAGAGAATGTACTGTACAACACTCCAGTAACTACACAGGGAAGGAACGGTCTGAATAGAATCTCCTGAGGAGTTTCAAAGATGTAATTGCTACGACCGTGGCAAGATTCTGAATGCTGAGTACTGGTAAATAATTGTCTACATGCCTGTGCACCTGTATGTGAATATTGAAAACTGAACTTTTAAACTCTCAAGCACAAACCTAGGTACAAATTGTATGGACTGGCTATACATTTGATCCAAATGCAATTAAAATTTAGCTAACTCCCATTAGAGAGACATAATTTCTTTCTGTTTCTGCCATCACTCACTCCATCCTAAACCTGCCATCTATTTATGTGCTCTAAGAACAGTCAAGAGTCAAACACAGCACTCAATCAAACCTGCCATTAGTAAGTCACTATGCTTAATTATAGCCTAGCAAATAATGCACTTTAAGCCACAAAGCCCAAAGGCAAATCTGGAAGTCTGTAAGTGCTGCTGGTCATGATGACATTTTCATCTCTAAACTCTGCAAACCCAAGAAAAGACAGCAAGAACAGTATGTGTACTTGATAATCTATACAGCAATCTCAGCAGCACGCTCCTTTTTTGCCTAATTTGGCAACATTAGTGCTTTGCTATATAGAAAATACACTGTGCTATCACCAGGTTGCGAAATTTTAACATTCAGCCATTTGAACAAGGAACTTAAATACTTACCAATTTTTTCAAAAAATTGATGTTTTGCTTTTATGCGATTGATGGTTCTTCTCTCTTCTGGATACCTCGAGGTAAACAGGACTTTCTCAGCACTATCTATCCCAGTCATTTCTAAGAACTGTCCAACATTTTTCCGGATTTGATTATTCTCCTTCTCGGAAAATCTGCCAAACCTGACAGCAATACCTAAAATGTACAGAAAGTTTTATTAAATAAAAAAGAAAACTTCAAGTGCCATCTCTTGTACATTTCAGGGTTTAACAAATATGACAAAATATCAATTAACTCAAAAGGTGAAAGAAAAAAATGAAAGAGACCAAACAAGAGCTGGAAGCAGGGAATTTACACATTTACTTCGGACTGTAATTCAGTAATGAGGAAGTTGATGCTACCAAGCAGAGAAGTGGAAAAGGTGTCTACTACAATAAAGTGAACCAGACTCCATGGATGTGACAGACACGGTACAAAAACTATGTTCCCTCTGTCAAAGCATTAGCACAGCTGCACAGTCCTTCCTCACTGCTACAAGATTTTGGAGAGCTCACCTTGTTTTTTAAACTCTTTAAACCTCACTAGGTCGCTTCCAGCCATCTTCATGACTGAACTGTCTGACATATTCCTCACATGAGGAATAAACTCTTCCAGTTCCTGTTTTGCGGTATCCAAATCCATGAAAGATATGGTAGAGTCCAGGTCATCATCATCATCATCATCCAGATTGCCGTCATCTGTGGTTACTGTTCTACTAAGGGAACTATTCTGGTCCTCCCTTCTATTTAATGCCAATGGTTCTGGTGTCCTGATATAAAGAAAAAAAGAACATAAAATACAGCACTAGACCTCAAAACCATTAAAAGAATTAACATATTCATTAAAGAATGAACATATTCATTAAAGAAGAAATACTTCACATATCCCCTTTGTATTCCCATCTTTCAACACAGATGTTATTTATTATCAGATTTCTACCGTTACAATACTCAAAAAGCTTGAAGCTTTGAAAATTGCACCTTTCCCACGAAACTCTCACATATGGACATACAGAAGAAACAGTCTCTCTTGCTACCACTAGCAACACAGAACTTTTTTATCTGTCTCTTACTAGTCGTCTGTGGGTTCTACAACACTGCAAAAGCACCAAGAGCTTGTTTGTGGTTCGGGTTGGAAGGGATTTTAAAACTCATCCAACTCCAACCTCCTGCCACAGGCAGGGACACCTTCCACTAGGGCAGGTTGCTCCAGGCCCTGTCCAGCCTGGCCTTGAACACTGACAGGCATGGGGCAGCCACAGCTTCTCTGGGCAACCTGTTTTAATGCCTCACCACCCTCACAGGGAAGAACATCTTCCATATAGCTAATCTAAATCTACCATCACAGTTATAACAAAGCTCTTAAAGTAGGTCTCTGTAACATCACAATATATTGTAAAGGGTTTTGGAGCCATTTTTAAAAACTCATACAGAACAGACTGAAGAAAAATCTGGGACCAACATAATGTGACAGAAACATGCGGGAGAAGGGCTGTAAAAAAACAAACACAAACAAAGTCTACATACGTTACATCAGAATCTGAAGAGCCTTCGTCTGAGATATAAGCTTTGCTTTTTCTCTTCTTAGAGCGCACTGAACGATATTTAGAAGGCCGATTAGCTGCTTTAGTCATCTTAGACAAATTAGCAGGTACAACCATAGAATCTTCTCTCCTGGCAGGAGAAGCATCACAGTCACCGTCATCATGGCATTGCTGGGACGATGCCACACCATCCGCTTCTGTAGCTAATGGCAGCTCTATGCCTTTCCCTTGCCCGTTTTGCTCTGCAGGTGACAACAGTGACTGGTCAACAGTTACATCTGCTTCTTCTTGTATAACTAGGATAATGCTGCATATATTCTCCTTGCTTGGTGATCTTTCACTGCCATTTCTGTCATGTGTTTCTGAGGTAGGAAGCTCATGTACCTCATCCTCTACAAATAATGTCACTTCCCTTCCCTCCTTTACAGATGGTTCTAAATAAATGCAGTCAGGCAGCTCACCTACTGCATCCGATTCAGGTAATTTCTCTTCTCCTTTCTTCTCCTTTACAGGTGGTTCTAAACAAATGGATTCAGGCAGCTCACCTAACTCATCCTCTTCAGGTAATTTCTCTTCTCCTTTCTTCTCCTTTACAGGTGGTTCTAAACAAGTGGATTCAGGCAGCTCACCTACCTCATCCTCTTCAAGTAATTTCTCTTCTCCTTTCTTCTCCTTTACAGGTGGTTCTAAACAAGTGGATTCAGGCAGCTCACCTACATCATCCTCTTCAGGTAATTTCTCTTCTCCTTTCTTCTCCTTTACAGGTGGTTCTAAACAAGTGGATTCAGGCAGCTCACCTACCTCATCCTCTTCAAGTAATTTCTCTTCTCCTTTCTTCTCCTTTACAGGTGGTTCTAAACAAGTGGATTCAGGCAGCTCACCTACATCATCCTCTTCAGGTAATTTCTCTTCTCCTTTCTTCTCCTTTACAGGTGGTTCTAAACAAGTGAATTCGGGCAGCTCACCTACCTCATCCTCTTCAGGTAATTTCTCTTCTCCTTTCTTCTCCTTTACAGGTGGTTCTAAATAAGTGGATTCAGGCAGCTCACCCACGTCATCCTCTTCAGGTAATTTCTCTTCTCCTTTCTTCTCCTTTACAGGTGGTTCTAAACAAGTGGATTCAGGCAGCTCACCTACCTCATCCTCTTCAGGTAATTTCTTTTCTCCTTTCTTCTCCTTTACAGGTGGTTCTAAATAAGTGGATTCAGGCAGGTCACCTAACTCATCCTTTTTAGGTAATTTCTCTTTTCTTTTCTTCATCTTTACAGGTGGTTCTAAACAAGTGGATTCAGGCAGGTCACCTAACTCATCCTTTTTAGGTAATTTCTCTTTTCTTTTCTTCATCTTTACAGGTGGCTCTAAATAAGTGGATTCAGGCAGGTCACCTAACTCATCCTTTTTAGGTAATTTCTCTTTTCTTTTCTTCATCTTTACAGGTGGTTCTAAACAAGTGAATTCAGGCAGCTCACCTACCTCATCCTCTTTAGGTAATTCCTCTTCTTTCTTCTCCTTTACAGGTGGTTCTAAATAAGTGGATTCAGGCAGCTCACCTACATCATCCTCTTCAGGTAATTTCTCTTCTCCTTTCTTCTCCTTTACAGGTGGTTCTAAATAAGTGGATTCAGGCAGGTCACCTAACTCATCCTTTTTAGGTAATTTCTCTTTTCTTTTCTTCTCCTTTACAGGTGGTTGTAAATAAGTGGATTCAGGGAGCTCACCTACCACATCTTCTTTAGGTAATTTCCCTTTTCTTTTCTTCATCTTTACAGGTGGTTCTAAACAAGTGAATTCAGGCAGCTCACCTAACTCATCCTCTTTAGGTAATTCCTCTTTTCTTTTCTTCATCTTTACAGGTGATTCTAAACAAGTGGATTCAGGCAGCTCACCTACCACATCCTCTTTAGGTAATTTCTCTTTTCTTTTCTTCTTCTTTACAGGTGGTTCTAAATAAATGCATTCGGGCAGGTCACCTAACTCATCCTTTTTAGGTAATTTCTCTTTTCTTTTCTTCATCTTTACAGGTGGCTCTAAATAAGTGGATTCAGGCAGGTCACCTACCTCATCCTCTTTAGGTAATTTCTCTTTTTTTTTCTTCTCCTTTACAGGTGGCTCTAAATAAGTGGATTCAGGGAGCTCACCTACCTCATCTTCTTTAGGTAATTTCTCTTTTCTTTTCTTCATCTTTACAGGTGGTTCTAAACAAGTGGATTCAGGCAGCTCACCTAACTCATCCTCTTTAGGTAATTTCTCTTCTCCTTTCTTCTCCTTTACAGGTGCTTCTAAATAAGTGGATTCAGGCAGGTCACCTACCTCATCCTCTTTAGGTAACTTCTCTTTTCTTTTCTTCTTCTTTACAGATGGTTCTAAATAACTGGATTCAGGCAGCTCACCTACCTCATCCTCTTTAGGCAACTTCTCTTTTCTTTTTTTCTTCTTTACAGATGGTTCTAAATAACTGGATTCAGGCAGCTCACCTAACTCATCCTCTTCAGGTAATTTCTCTTCTCCTTTCTTCTCCTTTACAGGTGGTTCTAAATAAGTGGATTCAGGCAGCTCACCTACCTCATCCTCTTCAGGTAATTTCTCTTTTCTTTTCTTCTTCTTTACAGGTGCTTCTAAATAAGTGGATTCAGGCAGCTCACCTAACTCATTCTCTTTAGGTAATTTCTCTTTTCCTTTCTTATCCTTTACCGGTGGTTCTAAATAAGTGGATTCAGGCAGCTCACCTACCACATCCTCTTTAGGTAATTTCTCTTTTCTTTTCTTCTTCTTTACAGGTGGTTCTAAATAAATGGATTCAGTGAGCTCACCTAACTCATCCTTTTTAGGTAACTTCTCTTCTCCTTTCTTCTCCCTTACAGGTGGTTCCAAATAAGTGGATTCAGGGAGCTCACCTACCGCATCCTCTATAGGCAATTTCTCTTTTCTTTTCTTCTTCTTTACATGTGGTTCTAAACAAGTGGATTCAGGCAGCTCACCTACCACATCCTCTTTAGGTAATTTCTCTTTTCTTTTCTTCTTCTTTACATGTGGTTCTAAACAAGTGGATTCAGGCAGCTCACCCACCTCATCCTCTTTAGGTAATTTCTCTTTCTTTTTCTTCACCTTTACAGGTGGTTCTAAATAAGTGGATTCAGGCAGCTCACCCACCTCATCCTCTTTAGGTAATTTCTCTTTCTTTTTCTTCACCTTTACAGGTGGTTCTAAATAAGTGGATTCAGGCAGCTCACCTACCTCATCCTCTTCAGGTAATTTCTCTTTTCTTTTCTTGATCTTTACAGGTGGTTCTAAACATGTGGATTCAGGCAGCTCACCTACCTCATCCTCTTTAGGTAATTTCTCTTTTTTTTTCTTCACCTTTACAGGTGGTTCTAAATAAGTGGATTCAGGCAGCTCACCTACCTCATCCTCTTTAGGTAATTTCTCTTTTCTTTTCTTCTTCTTTACAGGTGGTTCTAAATAAATGGATTCAGGCAGCTCACCCACCTCATCCTCTTCAGGTAATTTCTCTTTTCTTTTGTTCTTCACAGGTAGCTTTAAATAAACGTAATCAGCGTTAATCTCCTGACAAATATCAGAGCAACTCTGATTTACTGTGATACAAGATACAGCGTTACTTTCCTCATCCGTATTATCATTATGCTTCCACTTCTTTTTCTTCTTTTTCTTTTGGGAAGCATCCACTCCAGTTTCATTACTAATGTCACTTTCCAGTTCCACACAAGAATCACCTAACAAAGACTGCTGCTTCTCCTGCTTCTTTTTTCTTTTCTCCTTTTTAAAGCCTTCACCACTCTGTGCTGCTTGATCTTCAAGCAAAAGTAGAGAAGCAGAGCAAAGCTCTGCATCCTGTACGCTTTCTCTTTCATCATTTTCATGTTCCTTATGTTCTTTGTATTTTTTCTTTTTCTTCTTCTTCTTCAGAAGATCCTGAACTTGAAAATCATCTGCACTTGCTGTCATCTTTTTTCTTACCTTAAATAAAAGATACGGGGTTTACTCAAGTATTATAATTAATGCATCGTTACACAGGTAAAAAACAAACAGGAAAAAACAATATGTGAACAAAAGAGGCCCCCTCCCCCCCAACATTGAAATACTACAGAACAATTCAACATTATCTTAGAAGCATACAATGAAAATACTTACTTTTCAATGCAGCTAATTTTGCAGTGGGACTATGAAATTGTGATGCCTTCTTCATCAAACAGATGTGCATCACAGCTGTGTTCTGCTTTGAAATTGCCTTCCTATAACAAAGAAACATTTCAGTAAGTTGATTCTGAATAACTAAACAACAACAGACTACTATATTCATAGAATCAACTAAATTGGAAAACTCTTTAAGATCAGCAAGTCCAACCTTTACCCCACCACCAACCCATGGCACTGAAGGCATTTTCTACAGTTTGTGAATACTTCCAGGGACCGGGCTCCACCACGGCCCTGGACAGCCTGTTCCAATACCTGAGATTTGGAATCGTTCCTAATCTCCATCTAAACCTCCCCTGGCGTAGTTTAAGGACATTTCCTCTTGTCCTATCCCTCTGCTTCCTGCACCAAAACAGCAAACTAAAAATAACCAGGAAATATTAAACTACTCAGCATTAAAACCAACTGCCCTAGTTAGAAGCGTCTGACTGGCTTCACCCACGTGCCGACAGGCGCAGGCCCAGGCCCACGCCCAGGCCCAAACCCAACCAGGACCCGCCAGCTCCCACAGCGCCTGTAACCAGCACCAGTACGCACACACAGAGGCCGCAGCAGGCCTAAGGGCGGGCTGTGGGTCAGCGCCCCGCGGCAGCCCCCGCGCACCGGCCGCTCCCCTCCGCCTCTTACCCGGCACTCCCGAGGGCGAGGGAGGCACCCGGAACAACCACCACAGGCCTCTGTGTGGCACCGAGGCGGGCGAACCGCAGCCCTCAGGAGCCCTAACACGCTCCCGCGCCGGTGCAGGCCCTCCCCGCCTCCGCCCGCCACATAACGAGAACGAGACACCTCAAGGCCGCCAGCGCCGCCGGTAATCCCACCTTAACACTGCTCCCACTGCACCCTGCTGCCGGCCTTTCCGTTCCACCCTCCCCGCCTTCCCGCCACAACAGAGGAAGCGTTCCCAGACGGACCTAGCAAAGTGACGGACCAGCGGCGTGGGACCGTGGTTGCTAGGAGACGGGGCACCGCCATTACCCCCCCCTTCAGCGCTGTGGGGCTGGAGCCGGAGATCCGCTGCTGAGCTCTCCCTGCTCCGCTGCCACATCCACGGCCACGCCGCCTGCTTCAGCCCCGGGTCCCCCCACCACGGTGCGGGGTGATCCTGGCAGCGACATGGCGGGCGGCAAGGGGGCGGCCCCGCGGAGACCGCTGACCCTGGCTGAGGTGGAGCCCGGCAGCGAGAGCGAGCGGCTGGGGGTGGCCCGGGACAGCATGTTGTGCAACCCGCTCATCATCAAGGTGAGACACACGGTCCCTCCCCGCCGGTCCCGCTCTCTGCCCGGGTACTACCCACACCTCGCCCGTAGCGGCGGACGGGGCCCCGGAGGATGGGGAGGGGTCCCGGTCCCGCGGCAGCCCCTTGCACCGCAGGCGAACAGGGCAAAAATTGCCTGCTAAAGCACGTGGGGAGTGACAGCAGCTGAAAACAGAGGTTTCCCCCCTATTAATTTACATGGCGAGGAGGGAAAATCGCGCTGCTCCTCGAGCAGCTCCGTGGTTGATCCCCGTTAAGCACCCGGTAAGCCCCGGCTGGAGACCGGGTTTTCAAACCACACTGTCACCACCCCCCCACCGGAGGGGTTCTGGGGTGGGACAAAAACCCTGCCCCCTATATTGGGATTTATAGACCGGCTGTGGAGGTGACGGTCCGTTCACAAACCCCTGACACTTCTCACCTTACCAATCCCACTGTACTCCAGTCCCGTGGATAGGCTGAGCTCTGGGTGGGACTTGGAAAGCTTCAGGCAGGTATTTCACTCCAAACCGACACCCACGGAAGGTCCCGCTCTACCCCCGCCAGCCCTGGAGTCCCGCATCCCCTCCAGCCGCAGCTGAAGTACAGCTCTCGTCCCCTGGATGGCACTCGCAGAATGGCTTCGTGCCCCGACCAGCCTTTTCCCGTCCCAGTCTCCCCCCAACGGCCCCGCCGCCGGCCCGGTGCGGAGCGCCACGATGCTCTGGGGTCGGGACCGCGGCTCTGGGGCAGTGCGGAGGGAAAGGGACGAAGACTGCAGCCCCGCGGCTGGCACCGAGCGGTTCCACCGGCTGCGCTTTCCTTGTTGTCTGGGGGAGGGCAGCCAGCTTCGCTCAGAGCGTTGGTTTCCCACCGCAGCAAGCGGTGACATTTAGACGCGACTGTACAGTGGTACTTTAACTCCAGTTCCCTTGCTAGCCCGGCAGCGGCAGGCTTGGAATTACGACGTAAATTTTCGAAATATCACAGAAAATTTGAGTCTTGCAATCCTGATTTCCTTAGTTTTAGCTTGTGAAACTCTTAAAATCGAAATGTTATTGGGAAGGCAAAGAAAAAAGTAGGGCTTGCATCATAACCCAAAAGCAGCTTCACTTTTCAAATCCACAGCTTGTACTTTCTTTTCCCTGGATGCTCTGATAGGAAATTGCAGGATCTTTGCTTAGAAGTGAGATCAGGGTGAGGTTTCCTCATCTACCTGTGTATTGTCCCCTGTCCCGCCAAAGAGCTGCTGTGGGCAGATGTGGCCAAACCTCCTCAGGGTCGAGGAGGCAGCCCCACATCTTCCCCAGCCCTCCAAACTGCTTCTTAGAAAAGTGTGCTAGTAAATACATCTTTAGGTGATGCATGAATATGAATCAGAAGAGCATATCAGTATATGGCATTTCAGGTATGTGAAGGCATAAGTGCAGGGGTTAGGTTGATCCTGCTTATTTTCACGATGCATTTACATTCCCTAAGTTGAAATAGGCATAAACCATCCATTAGTGTTGTAAATCCCAGGTCTACAGGTAGAACACTGGGGTAATCCTACAAAGCGCAGCTCCTCTCCTGTAGTGTCTGTGTTGCAGGTAGATTATTTGTGGTCATTAAGATTACATTGATTGATGTGGAAGTTCTGCCCATCTGGATGGGAGCATTTGGTCAGGCACTGTCTGTCCCCGGCGCTCACCTGATGTCTTCTCCCATCAGCTTTAGGGCTTGAGTTTTTTCTCAGTGTCACTCTTACAGAGCATCCTGGTAGTGGGAATTCTGAGCAGTTATATATCACAGGATGTTTTAGTAAGACCCAATCTGGATTTCTATCTGGCTAAGTGAAACTAAAGGTTGAGCAAGTTTTGAGAAAAAGTAGTGTTAAATTTTAGCATTCTGGACAACTTCTGTTCCCTCAGGGCTTCCTTGCAGGAGGTGTCCTTCACTGTAAGCTAGCCTGGAGGGACGCAGAGAGATCTGTATCCAGCTGGTACAATCCTTCAGCACAAAGTAACAGAGCTAATAACAGAGATGCTTTTACTCTTCAAACCAGGGGTAATTTCACCTTATTGTAACTTAGGTTGTAAAGTTTGTGGAGCAAACTCCACATCTCCTGCCAGCTGCCTTCCCTCAGTGCATTGTGCCCCACTGAATGCTGAATGTATCAGTGTGTCTTTCACTGCCAGGAGGTGACAGTGACAGGATGGCAGTTTATTGGATAAGCACTGACCCTCAGCCAGACCTACTCACTGGGACCAGTAGTGGCATACACAAAGCATCAGCCCTCTGCCACATCTCTTCATGCTTCCAGCTGCAATCGGACCTCTTCCCACCCCAGGAGAGTCCTGGGGACCAGACATTTTTGAACAGTTACCAAAGGAGATGGCCAGCAGGTCCCAACCTTCACACTGTGCAGTGCCACCTGAAAACCAGGGGCACAAAGATGGTTTAGAAGAAAGGGACAAAAGGTTTTGAGACAACTGCTGCTTGGACAAGTGCTTCTGGCAGCCATGGGTAGGAACTGAGGAACACACAGCTCCACCAGCTGTTGTGAAGGTTCACCAGACAGCAAGTACACAAGAACCTGAGGCCCAGTAGTGATGGATGGGACACTTAGTCCCTGATCTTCCTTCCAACTGGCATTCAGTCCCCAAAACCCTAATGCAAGCATGACAGAGCTCCTACTTTGCAGCAGCTAACAACAGGATCCCCTAAGTTCTCTCCCAGTTCTCTCACATATCTTCTAAATGAGGCATCACATGCAAACAGAGACCACTGCACAGATGACTGCCTTCATTTCTGGCTGACCCTCCTGCCTCAGCTCTGCCCAGCCCCATCATTCCACTAGGATGCGTCCACACATGCCAGCTATCTTTTTCACATAAAGATTTCTAGGGATGAAAGCTCTATTTTTCATTGGTAGAATGTGATATGATTAATCAAGGAATTAATTTAGTTTATCAATATATATTTGCTTGCAGGAAACACTGAGGAAATAAACTGGGGAAACTACTTTATATACTGATGCCAGTAGAAATCTGAGCAAAGCATTTTTGGGTAGTTTGTTTTTACCAGTAAAGCCTTAGCCAAGCACTTTTCTCACTACAAAGTTAAAACTACTGCTTTACAAAACTAAGCCAGCTGTGGGCAAGAAAATTCACCACCCTTAACCCCCAGCATGCCTGACAAACACTCCAGAAAAAGCAGCCAACACCAGTTTGATTTAATTTATATTAACATTTTTTGGATATTGTGCCCTTATTAAGTTCAACATATCACTGCCAAAGTCATTGTGTCACCAGCCTGGAGCTGCACATAGCCCTGGTGTGTGAAGGTAAAAATGCCAGACCCATGTGCCAAAGCATCCACTTACTGTCAAAGAGCAGCCAGGGGACACGCAGAACATAGGGAACTGCTCTCCATGTATCCCCTTCAAAGCCAAGAGACACCAACCTGCCTGCAGAGCCCCAGCCAGAGAATTCAACATTAAAAAGTTGTTTCAGAACTGGCAGTTTCGAGGAGGAAGAGGAGGATGGTGATGGTGCTTTGTGGGCTATGAAAGGCTGCCACCAAGTCTCCCACACTGCAGGAGAAACAGGTTTAACAAACTGAAGTTTACAGCACTACTGGAATATGTAATATCTGGTTTAGAAGCTTATTATTTACATGACAACTGATGCCAGGCTCTTTTTATTGGCCTGAATGCTAGGTCATTTAGGATTCATTTTCCTAAGCTTTTCTCTTCAGCCCTGAGGCTGGATGTTTTTCTTTTTTTCCCAAACAAGATTGGAAATAATAAAGCTACAGGACTGAGGCAATAAAAATTCAGCAGTTACAGTCTCCTGAAGAAGAATATAGGATGAAAAACCTCAAAAACCAAAGGAATGGGCACACTGGTAGCCTCAGTTTTGGCAATCACAGCAAAGGAAGAATTAGCTAGGCCAGGGAGGATGAACTGCCCTTCTCAGTGGAGGAAGAGGACACACAGGAGAGCTTGCCCCATGCTTATCTGAGAGCCTGCTCCATGCTGAGGGAGGGCAGCTCAGTGTGGGGGACCACAGGGCACCAACTGGGTGGCCATGCGACTCCACTAACTACACAGGTACCAAGTGAAGGCAGAAATCACCCACCAATTTCCTCCCTTTTCCTTTCATGCCTATTGAACCTTATCATGAAGTATTTCTGAGCTGTCAGACTTATCACTGAGCAAGGAGCTGCTTGGAGCTGTTGCAAAATCATTTTGGTTTCTGGAACAATCTGTAGGAAGGACAGTTAAGAAAAGCAAGTAGAACCATTTTACCGAACTAAAATTGTGTCACATCATGCCAAAACCCCAAAGCTCTATGCAAGATAAACATGGGTAAATGCACTGTGTGAACAAGAATATTATAGCTCCGAGTTTTAAATTACATGCATCACAAACATCTTTTGCAACAATAATTACTGAAAGGGCAGGTTTTCCATCAGTGGACTTGGAGCTGTTATTAATAGACCTGCATTGTGGCTATAATAGGGCTTTTCCATTGAAGGTTGTGCCCAGTGTTTGAGCCTTTAATCCTCACCTTTCTTTATTTTTTTAAACCTTCCCTCCAAATTCACTCATCTTTAGCACACCAAAAAGCCAAGGTAAACCTGAACTCATGCTCTCACCTCACCAAGCCCTCTCTCAGGGCAAAGCCAAGAGACACCACTCACCTTTGTAATCCTCATCCATCTTTCTGCAAGGACTGCTAACCTGCACAGGAAGGGAAGATGATAAAAAAAGGCTTCCTTATATACATACCCATCACTGAATGCTCAGACAGTGACTAGATATGAGCTATTGGAACCTCACAGGTGTAGTGTCTCTGTGACAGCTGGGACCGACAGAGAGCAAAATCATTCCTTCTCCATAGAGCACCTATGTTCTGAGTGTGCAGGTCTCTATGGTCTTCATTGTCGCTGCAGCACATCTCTGCTCTCCTCGAGTGCTTTGTGGGTTCAAGCACAGCCTGAGAGCCCACAGTCACTTCCATGTTCACCAAGAGCCCCAGGTGCAGCAAACTCTGCTGACAGCATCACAGCCCTCCAAGCAGCTTCTAAAGCATTGAGATAACTTCCTTCAGTTTTTAGCTTGTTGATTTAAATTACTCCATTCCCTCTCCTGATACCTGCTCTCAGCTGTTTATAATCAATGCATCTATTGAAAACTTGACTGGGGACTAGATTTTAGCCTGTCTGTCTCTAGTGAATAACCCCTGCAAGACAGAGCAGTGTAGCCACAAGTACTGTGAGCCGTAGGTGGAATAGGTTGTCTCTATTTGGTGTTAATTATACTGTTTACCTCAAATCACTCCATGTGCTGAGCATCCTGCCTCCTGTGCTTGCTGCTTGGGGATGCTGAGGATTAATTAGTGTTTATGCAGCATTTTGGGTGCTTATTACTATTATTATTATATCACTACTACTATTATATTTTTGCAATCTAGGGCCAGTGTTATGCTTTTAAAAACATATTCTGAAATGTCTATACAGTACAGCTCAATAATTCATTAGAGAAATAAGCTAATGAAGGGCTGGTTAGTCAAATAATCATTAGGTTTGGTTCTGAGCTTTGTTTTTCCAATGCTCTGACTTCTAAGGGTTTTCTTCTCAGCATGAACTCATTTAAGATTTTAAATGAATGATTTGGTACACTAAAAATTAAACTCCTTATGAGCTTTAGTGCTCTCCCAGATTTTGCACAGACACCACTAAATAAATAAGGCATTTCCAAGAGGCAAATAAACGTTCTGCATGAATGAAAGGGGGGGGGGGGGGGGTGTCTTCTGGTTATTTGAAGACAGGACTTAGGCTACAGGCTGCCAGCCGTGATTCAGCAGGCAGAGGGACAGCCCCAGCAGCACCGGGCACTGAAAGCTGCTCACCCCCATGATCAGCAGGCAGTATGTAAAAGCAAGCAAAAGGGCATTTTGATCCTTTATGTGAACAAAACAATGCAAATTGGTGAGACTAATAAGCCCTGAAACATTACAAGGTGAATGCCTTTTATGTTTGAGAAAATCTTCTATGTTTATTTGTCTAATACAATGGAAATAAAGCTTCAAAGGCCCTTTGATTTAAAAGTGCATTATTGAAGTCAGCCAGCACAATGATAACCATTAGACCAAATTGTTGCATTATGACCCTAATAGCAGCGTTGTCATAGGAGAGAATCTGTACAGCCTCTTCCTTGAGTTGTTGGGGATGTAAAAGCAGAAATTCAGCCAAAGGACAAGAGAATGTAGACTGAAAAGGGAAAAAAATAAAATGAATAAATGGGTCCATGCACTCACAGTGCATCCAGAGCTGCAGCAGGCTATAAATTTTTATGATGAACCTAAAATTCAGGCTTTATTGTCTAAAAGATTTAAGAAACTTTGGGGGAGAGCCAATACCAGTTTATGGCATTGGCCCTAAACCATGTTAGTCCTAGAGATGGTTTTCAGACTAATTCAAATTGAAGACACCATGCAGAAGGTCAGGGATATTCCAGATGCTGATACCTTTTGCCCGTATCCACAAACCCTTCTCTAGGGACACTGAACCCTGAGAGCACCAGAGACCCAGCTAAAACTTGTAAGAGCACAGGAATACCTCTGCCTTATTTCCGCCCTGTCCTTGCTTCTCACTCTACCAACAATAAACATCCTTTCTGCTCTGGAAAAGGCACAAGAAAATGTCCTGAGCATAGAGGGGAAGCTGGTGGAGGCTCAGTAAGGGCTGTCCTGGACAGGACGTCATTGGGCAGGCAACCAGTGGGCAGCTGCCCAAAGAAAAGGCAAAAATCTCATAATTTTTAAACCTTTATCACAATATTTTCCCTCTTTCTGAGTGCTGCCCAGCAGAATATAAAGCAAATGAAGCACATTCACAGCAATCACCAGTGTTTCCAGTTCCACAATTCTGCAAGTTTTCAGCCAGACTTTCCCCAAGGGCAGGTTGCTTGCCATGCAAATTCTTAGAGATACTCTTATGCTTAATTATTGAATTTGTGAAGCCTTTGTCATCTTGCAGGGATTGTTTTGCTCTTGCTTGGCTGCTCACATTGTACAGATTAGACAGAACCTGCAATTCGGAGGATATTTTCTTTTTTAACCATTTGTATAAAATAAATGAACACTGACTTTTCTACTCACATTTATCTGAAGTAGCGTGGAAAAGGAGCCTATTACTAGAATTCCAAAACAGCCTTTAAGAAAAACTTCAATATCAAGGGAAATATCTCTAGTTTGATTTTTTTTTTTTTTTTAAGCAAACCAACGTGGGGTTTGTGCCTAAAAATCTTACAAGTGAAACCTGATTAAAAATAATAGCATAACTCCCAGGCTGGAAGGGGGCGGGGGGGAGGAATCAGAAAAGCAAACACAGTGAACCTCATATTGCTTAGTGAAGAGTAAACTAGCCTGAAAAATGAAGATGGTTTTAATCACAAGCTTCGGGCTGCTCGCCAGGTAGAAGAGCCCCTTTGTTTGCAGCATGCTTTTCAACTTCCCGATGTCCCTTTACATTCCCTCTCTCTATCACCCTCCTGCTCGCTGCCTGGGCGCTTCTGTAGTTCCCAGGAGATCCCAATCAGGAGGCGACTGTAACTACACTAATCACAGTGTATTACAGTGTGTTAAAGCCCTGATACACGCCGAAACGTGCCTGCGTCCATCCCCACACTCTGCCCCTCTCCTCCCTTGCCGCAGTGCCACAGTGAGAGGCTCCCGCGCTACCTCTGCCACCATAAGCAGGGAGCTAAAATTGTTATCAGATTAGCCCCAGCAATGAAAAGCACAGTCCCAGATCACACTCGCAGTTAGTTAGCATTTAGATAGGCTGGGACTGGGGTCTATACAATAGGCATCAAAGCTGAACTCTTGGTGCAGCGAGAGGGATTAATTTCTTTAACCAACATGCCTGATCTGGCCTATCTCATTACCCTGCCTTGTCAGTGTCGATGTTAGATTTGATTGAAGATTATACCATTTAGGCCTTTCCCCTGTTTTCCACAGAAATCAGGCCTATTGAATTGCACATTCTTCCATGGGCCCCTGTCAATACTCAGTGGCCTGAGCCTCTAATTCTGCTTCATTTAAACTTCATCAACTTTTCCAATCAAGTGGAAGGATCTGAAATAGGCTCCGTAAGCAGAAAGGCTCTTTTTCCTTTTGTCAGATAATTTATTCTGTTTTCTCTTTCTCTCCCCCTCGCTTCCCCACCTCTTTCTCTTTTTCTTCTTTTCGCTCCCTTTCCCTGATGCTGAAAATGAGATTACAGTATTTAAATGACTATGATAATCAATCGGGGGACCTTGAGCCGAGATTGAGGTTAATTTTTCTTAGCAGAACAAAGAAGCGTGATGCCATCGGGGATTTGAAGGTGCAATCTGTGTTTCATGCTTGTATTCCTCCCCCCCCCCCAATCCAAAAGTGCAGGTTTTAGGAGTCTTTTCTTGTTCCTAACTCTGCAGTTGTTGTGATTTTTAAGAGACAGCCCCTAGGAGAGAAGCAATGTAATTTTGGGCTGATAAACAGCTTAACAGCCTTCAATCAACAATTTTAAGGGGGGGGGGGGGGAACACTTACATGGTGTGACTGCAGATCTAATGAAAGTGCTATCATTACCTTATTTATTTTTAATTATACTCAGAATAATTTCCAGCAGTGCTATGAGCAGTCCTTCCAGCCTGCACAGCAGAGTTGTGAACTTTTAACTGAAAACCCCTTTCATCCAGCCACTCCACTTCGACTTAGCAACTTTCTTGGTTGCCTGGAAAAAGTCAAGCTTTTTGTCATGATTTTACTAATCACAAAAGGAATTGCTTACGTTTATCATAAAACCTGCATTGAAACGGCTTGTTAAGGCTTTAGAAGATGTATTTGTGGTTGTAACACGCCAACATTCACTCACCTGGATGTTTCCTCTACTCTTCTCAGGAAGAGAGAAAGAGAAAAATATGCATTTCTTTGCTTCCATCCTAGCTGTCTTGTCAGTGCTGTTTTACATGCTGCCACCCAATGTTATCTTTTATTTGTGTCAGGAGAGAGGATTTGACAAGTTCAGTATACAATGTTCATTTGGCAAGGCAAATTTTTCATACCAATTTTGAGTAGAAAATGAAACCATCTTTCAACACAACGAGCAACATCATTTCTGGACAGACTTATTATGAGAAGAAGAATTGAAAGAACTTTATTTCGCTGCATGAAAAAACAAACCAAAAACCCAAACCTGGAAATGAGACATTTAAACAAAAAAATAAATACATGTATGGATGTTTGAGGCCAGCAGTTTGTTTTGGAAATAAACAACCACCGGCTGCTGTCAGGTAGCTGTGGCCTCCTTTTTGTTAATCAGATGCTGCTGAATTTAGTCGCATCATAATGTAGCTTTGTTTCAAATCTTTTAAGCTGTCAGCAGATAGGGAAAGGCAGACCGACTTCAGAAGTTTTGTCACTGTTCACCAAGCAAAGCAGCCATTAGTTAACAGCAAATAGGCTGAGGCTTACAAAGATGCCCAGAGCCCAAACAAGGGAGGGACTAGGGCATTTGAAAGGGCTCCGGATGCTTTGCCTCCATCCAGAATCCCAAATGTAACTTCTGCTGGTGCTAAATACTCTGAACAATTCAATTAATGGAAAAAATCTAGTTATAGATTCTGCCGTCCCATGTGTGTCAGGAGTTACATGGGGACAAGCAGCTTCCTTGGGCATAAGACTTTATTCTTTGAGAGCCCACTACCACAATGGGCTTCTAGTCCTTGACAAGGACTACCTAATGCAACTGCAGTGTGAGGACCCAGGCCAGGTAAACAAGTATTCTCTAAGGAAGACCATGCATTGAAAAAGGGCTGTCAAACCTTCACTGGGTGACAGGTCCATTTCAGCACTCCAGATTCCTGCAAGGCTGGGAGGTGAAACCTGAAGGCCATGTATGTCCTCCATGTTCTGCACATTCACAGGAAACCTCAACCTGTGGTAGGAATCAGGATGCTCTCCAATACCCCAGCTACTTCCCTCTGTGAATTTTACCCCCAAGAAAAGAAGCAGCAGCCCAAAGATGCCAGTTCAACCCCTTAGGCTTGGTAGAAGCTGTGTTTCAGACAGTGTGGTTTGCCCTAACAGTCTTCTCTCCTTAAACAAATGTTGACTCACTACAGGGAAATGAAAACTCCATTAGACATTGCCACATCGTAGAGCAGACCCCATTACAGCAGTGGAGTTACAATTAATTGGTTTCCTCAGATATTACTTAATTCTGGGAAGGCACAGAGAGATGGGAAGGACAAGGCTGATCTAAACAATAATTTCCTAAAATAACATAATCTAAATAAACTAATGAAGTGATTACACAGTTACTAATCTAAATATAAAGAAGAGTCAAAAGAAAATATTGGGTACATAACAATTTAGAAATATCAGTAGAGTTAATACCATTCTGGTTAGACTCATCATGAGGCAATCAGCATTTGTGCTAAGGGGTGGATGCTAGTTTAGCAGAGTAATTATATTTCATAATATATATATATTTCATGCACCATTTCAAAGAGTCTCATCTTCTGCTTTTGTTTGGTCTGCTGTTCATGCTACTTAACTTTTCAGCACACAGATTGAAGGGGCCACTGCCTATGTGTCACTGCAGGTTTGGGGGTTGTTTTTTAACTAAGGTTGATTTTGGATTAGGAAATGTAGAGCAAAATAACCATAAAAAGAAACTCTCTAATATGGAGATGGAATAATTACTACTTTAGAAATAGTCCAACCCAGGCAGGGCCTTCCATGGGCAGAGAGGCAGCAGGGAGCTGCATCAGTGGCATGGAATGCCATGGGGCTCCCAAGAGCCAGGCAGCAGGCTAGGAGCATGCATGCCCCATAGCACCCCATACCCCCCACCTGCTGCCAGTGCAGGGAGCAGATCCAGCCATCTCCCATGTAGCTTTACTGTGCAAAGCTTATTTGCTTGCATTATCAGGGTGAGAAAGTATTTGGCTTCAGGAGAATAAATAACTAGGCTTTATAAGTCATTAAAAATGTATTACAAGAAAAATACAGCACAGCTATAAATAGAAAACAAAGCAACTCTTATATAAACTTTTACAATGGCTGTTACTCAGACTATTTGTCACTGTCTGGTTTTTAAGCAAGTTTAGCAACCATGATCTCCAGAGACCAACAACCCTTGAAGCTTCGGTTCTCCTGCTCAGGTCCTGGCAAGGCATTGGCCTCTGTAAACCTCCCTCGGTTCTGATGATGAGCATTTAGGGGGAGTACCTCAGGTCTGTGACCTGCTCAGTCCACCTTTGTTTTACTTCTGTAAAAGATATCACCTCTCTATGTAAACTTCCACAGACACAGATTTTGACTTCATACAAAATGAACTTTATGTAGCAATACATTAATCATTCAGTGATAGTCATTCCTTCCTTTTTGTTATTACTCTAACAGTAGTTCATGTAGATGAAATCAAGCTCATGGCATCATTTTTAAACCTTTTCTGAGAGAATATGCACATTTAGTTTCTTAAGAAGCTGCTATTATTCTTCAACATTCTGCTCAGTGCTCTCAACTGAAGCCAGGGCAAGCCTGCTTTCAGGGGGAGGTAAACTGGACTTCATGGACTTCAGTGCTAGCAGTTCTTGTCCTCTGGTCTGATCTTCTATATCTCGTGTCAAGCAAAAAAATGGTATATTTAGGTGTCTAATATACATTAATAGAACTTGGCAGCCAGCAGCAAAGAAGTTACCTCAAACTTTCAGCTAACTTCAGCTGTATATTAGAACTTTAAAAGATCAAATCCTAAGATGAAAACCCCATGTAGAGTACTTGCAGCTCCTAAACTCCTGTGTGTATCTAATGGGTTGCTCCAAGGGAACGGCTGGGTTGGCTTGGCTGGACAGTGATAAACAGAGATTGCAGCACCCAGGTGTACCGAAGAGACCATAGTTACATATTCAGGTCAGGAAAAGTAGGCCACAGATCTAAATGTGAACTCCTAATAGTCTGAGTTGTGGTTTCTTGGTAAGGAGGACATTTTGTACCACTTACATCTTAATAAATGTGATGTTTTCATCACTATTCTGCTGGTTGCAAAAGAGGGAGCTGCTGCAGTGTGGTCCAGAATGAAAATGTTCTGTTTGTTTGCAGGACAACAGAATAGCCAAGGCCTGGAAGGCAACATTCAGATTTTCCCAAGTGTTGGGCTGCTTAGGATCCAGGGTCACGCTGTCCTGTTTGTTTCCATTAATATATCTGACCCTGCAAGAGGGTGAGAGATCTTGGTCTTCATCTAATTCCTCATTGAAATGTAGTGGCTCAGACTAGTTTCAAAACAAGCCTGTGCACTGCAGTGCGGCTCATTCACACATTACATGGGTGTGATGGAAAGCAAATCTGTTCTTCTGCACAGACATGCACTCTGGACTGCGCTCCCAGGTATGTGGAGACTGCTGGCCAGGACCACTGGCTGATGGTTTCTTAACAGAACAGACCCATTAGGCTCATTTCTGTAAGAAATGTGAAATTCAGCAAGCAATGAGTCGAAAAAGCAATTTCCTTTTCATGAAGTGTGGGTGCCTGCTTTGTTTTCATCCTAAACTCACAAGAACCTCTTTCTAAAATGCTCCACCAGCCTCCCCTGGTTGTGGTCTCATTGCTCACCCCTCTCCTGCAAGGCTGTTAGAGTGCAGCAGTGCCTTTAATTTGAGAATTTAACAAGTAATTCTAAATTGGGATATTGGAAAAACCTGTGATCCTATCTACCATGTCTATCCTATCAGATGTGGTTCTGTGCTTTCACTGCCTTGAAAACAAAGGGGAAGAAAGTTGAACACATGGTATCCTCAACTAGAAAGGGCTTTGCTGTAAGAGGATATTGAGTTGTTTTGTAAAGCCCAATATTACGCTTGAATTATGCCTGAATAAGGAAAAAGTACATTGTTAAAGAGCCCTAAACATGGACCATAGTGGATCTTCTTTCTTCCAAACCCTTCAGAGGTGTTGTTTTTGGCTGTTAATGATTTGGTATTGTATTTATAAGCTGGCAGGGTAATCCACAGAGCAGCAGGAGGGGCAGTTCCCTTAAATAAAGCTTTACAATGCTGCTAATTAAAATGATCCTTCCTCTCCCTGTGATGACTAATGAGACAGAAAGAAGAACTGGGGAGGGTTAATGAAAATGTTGCCATGAGATTCCCTATTTTTAATTGGTCTTTTTAATGTTTTAATCTTCTTTACGGTGTGGGGGTGGAAAGGAAGAAATTTGCTTTCAACCTTTCTTGTACCATGCCCAATAGGTTGTAATGAGTAGCATGTGGAACGCGCATTTTTAGCTGTATATTGAGAATCTGTAATCAAAAGTCTGAGACTGAGCATAGCCTTGAGATGGAAGAAGCAATTTTGGACTTCATCGAGAACAGAATCAAGAAATGCAAAACCTGGTTTTACACTCAAGCTTCTAAAACTCCAAGGGAGCATTTGTACCCTGAGGACTGAGGCTAAGATCTATTGTGAAGGACTGGCACTGATGCTCAATAGTATTTAGAGCTTTAGGACATGATGCTCTGTTAAATGCAATATTTATCCCATGAGCATGTCACAGTTCACCTCAGATGTCAAGAATTCAATTAATATTCTATTTAATAGAACACACCGTGACCTAACCTTTTAAGACTCTTAGTGTGTCTGAGCACTCCTTATTAGTGTCACTCCCTAACTTTCCTTCTCAGCTGATGCATCTAACAACAACTGGGATGGGGAAATTGGGAGCAAGAAGAGAAGGGGAGAGATTTAAATTACTTTTGGACCTCACTGTGAGGATTCAGCAGCTTTATCCCTTGTAAAACTCCGTTTGCAGGGGGTTGGCACATCGCCCTTTTTCCCATTTTTGCAGGGTTGATGTATTGCAAGTTTCAGCTTTCTATGGATTCAAACCCACAAAAGGCATTGCCAAATTTTTCATGGTTAGTACCAGTCTAGCTTTTCATTGGCACAGCATTGCCCCTGCCTCACACTGCATTAGCAAACTTAGGTTCAGGGGACACCATTCATATGGCACCTGCAGGATTAAACCTTTGGCTTGAAATTTTGTTTGTGTACTTTGATGGTGGGTTATAAATGCTCAGAGGTTTTAAAATGAACGTTGCAGAAATTTCTCTGCACTGCATCTGAAAATTGTCTCTGAGATCCCCTGAATGCATCCTGATTTTTCAGATAGGAGAATTACAGGATTCCTTCTGGCTTTAAGTCCATGAATAAGCACTGCTGCCTTCTTCCCCCTCCCACTTAGGAGCAGTGGCACTTTACTGCCGAAATCAGAGGTGCAGAAGCAGCTTTTGCCATCCTTCCATCACCTCCAGTAGGCTACTAGGAGAAAGGCATAAAAACCCCAGTAAACTGTGTTTTTCAGATCATATGAAATAGGAGACAGGCTTAGTAACCTGATGGGAATTATATCTACCTTTTTAAAAGAATAGAATTAATTTTTAAAGCTCCTAATTGGGATCTGTTTCAGCCCAGTACCTTTTCTGTGCAAGATCTGTGAAACAGATTAGAAATGGAAAGACACTGAAAGCAAATAACTGGTTTAAATTATTCTGTACTAAATAGCAAAAGCTTTCTTTAAGGCAGCAGTCCCCTGACTTCAGGCAGGCGGGTAGGATGGGGTTAGCACTGCAGAGAACACCTACCTGCAGCTGGGAGGGGGAACACACTATTACCACACCTGTGATTTCAGTAAGATTTGTTGGGAAGATCAACCAATAAATACAGAGTCTGTACCACAGCTCCTTAGAGTGGGAGGAAGGACAGATATTGTGCCAGATATTTCCATGCAACTATATTCATTATTTATGCAGAAGAAGAGATATTTCAGGCAAACAGAGCTGAACCATGAGTGACAAGGTATCTTTCCAGCACATAGGGTGCAGGAAAATTGCACTGAGGTTGACAGCTTTTTAATGTAGAGTCTCTATTTCACTGAATTACTGCATGTTGGCATTTCGAAAGTACAAGATGACCTATTTATTAGCTGTGAATCAAACAGAAATTACATGCTAGGAAATAAAAAAGTTGTATGTTTTCTTCCAGCTGGTAAGATGCTTATCCTACAGAAGTAATATTTACATAAAACCTGCAAACAAAGTATCACCAATCACAGGGCACTAAATTTAATGTTATAGGACCTATATTCATCTTGTAATATTGCAATCATATGTGCTTGTTCCCTTACATGTGATGTAATATTAAATGTATGTGTGTCATAATGCTTTAAAATTTCAATATCCTTGCTCTGCTTAAGCTCGTATCATCCTCTTCCTTCCTGAAGAGGAAATACTGGGTTGGAAAATTAGCTTCAGCAGTAACATTTACCCTAAAGGAACACAAAATGGTTCACTGAGATCAAGCTTTGTGTATTCGTAGCTAACCTCTTCAGGCATGTGCCCTCTCCATGTACGTACCAGGGTCAGAGATGCCCTTGATTTGGGGATGCCAGGCTATCTAGTCCTGCCTCTCAGTACATGCAACACTTTTTACCTGTCAAAAATCCTAGCCAAGCTTGGGCAAAAGCTGCCCAACATCACCTGTAGTGCAGAATGCTAGGAAGTGAGAATATAATTGCTGTGACCAGCAGCAACAGCCTGTTTTACACAGTGTGAAGGATTCATCTTGCTGTACCAAATCCACGCATCTTGGAAAACCCAGCCACAATTCAGTTATATAGAGGGCTTCCTACAACACATGGGAAAGGAAGGTGAACATCACCCAACCGACGTCTCTCATGCAT